ATAACAGATGACACATACCTTTAGTTAATTCGTTATCTTATTCCCGTGATGTTAAGAAGGCACTATACAGGCTGAAATATCATGATGTTTATACTCTCTAAAACTCCAAAATAGAAAAATAATCTCATAAGACTTTACATGGTAAAAACACTTTCGAATTGATTCAACCTTGTTGGTTTGTGGGTTGGTGTCTGTTACCCCAGACTTCGTATTCGAAAGTCAATGTCAGTTCAATAAAGTTTTTATCCCAGTCAAATCGGACGTAACAGTTTACATCTCGCAAACCCCGAAAGCCGCCTTTTATAAACATTGCTGTCTTTGGTCTAGCTCATTCAGAAACTTGACGGTAAAAAGGTGGCGAAAACAAGTTTTCCAGAATGGTAAACAATTATTTGTTGTTGTACTGTCGTCATAAATTATTTACTGAAAATTAATTAGAGTTTATTTCCAGTACAAGATCCTAAAGGTTGCTCTTTTCCAGGCTCATAATTTTGTTCATTTGATTGACTATTGGTTTCGTTACTTCCGGATATTTCTGCCCTATAATCATTATGATAAATCCCTTCATTTATCCATTGCTCGTCTTACCGGTGTTTGAAGGCATTGATGGAGGGGGCTTTGGTAATTTTGTCGGGCAGTTTGTTCCAATTTTCTATTCTTACAGAGAAAGAGTGTTTTCGGATATTTGTTTGAAACCATTGGCGAACCACTTTGATATTCTATTTGGTCTGCTACTTATTCTTTATTGTGAGTCTTCTGACAATGGTAAAAAGAGCTTGCTTCCTTGTACTAGTAGCCATTTACATTTTTGTTCAATCTCTCTGGATAATTCATATCTGTGAGGTCTGTTAGCTGTTTAGTTACCCTTCTTTCAACGCCTTCTATCTTGTTCTAAAAAAGTTTCTTTTAAATATATGGTTACCAACCTGATCTTTCTGTTGAACTATTTGGTGTACGTCTCTTGTTTCAACTTTTCTGCATCGTAAAACCATCACATCTAATACCATTTCTAAAACACATATGGTCGTGCTTTGAAGCCGAAGTTTACCGATTGTCACCTAGGTAAACTGGGAATCAACAAAGACGCATGTATATTCAGATAAGCACGTGTATAACATGTACAATAAGATATAGTTTCGATGACAGAGCGATGCATATAGCGATCACCGTATTTTTACGAGAAAGGTCACGCTGAGGTCACTGCATACGGAAAACATGTCAGCGATTTTTTTTCTCGGGAAAGGTAATAATTCAAAAAGAGTTAATTTCTTCTAAATTTGGACAAATTAAAGAATTTTCCTGACAAAAACGTACATGTACATAAATTTTATAATAAAAAATAGCCATTTAGTTATAAAAACATATGCATCAATTTTTTTTCAGATTTCAGATTACTTTAAGCGTTTGCATGTGCATAATTTTTTTCTAATTCTTTTTTTTTTATTATTAAATTCAACCAAGACTAAGTGCCACTATAACAAACTTCTAAAGGATTTATCTTAATAAATAATGAAAGCAAAACAATATACATTGGCATATATATTTAAAGTAGATACTATTTTCTAAAACGTACAATTGCAGTTTCGAAATAATTTTTTATAATTATGGTTACCTGTTAGTATGTTATCTTTATCATCAAAATAGCTACTTTCTATTTCAGTTTTTGTTTAAATGTCTTCAGCAAACAAATAAATAAAATGTAAAATGACATTCATCTCTGTGTGAATTTAAACCTGGATGGTGGTGGTGTGTTTGTGCATTGCTAGCTTTAGTTGTTGACAAAGCATATGGTTTATTTAAAAAAAATCAACATTTCTCAATTGCTATGGGTCAGCATCGAATACCTTAACAAAATTCGATAAACTGCAAATTAAGAATAAAATACTGTAACAAATCATGATATGTTACACTGTGTATCATCGCCACCGGAAATTGGGTACTAACGAAGCGGAGAGAAAATGAAAAAAAAAGTAAACAAGGTAAGAATTCATTCAATTTAAAGCATTTCTACTGGTTTGACGAGGGTACCGCGTAAGAAATGATTTTCTGATATATAATTCTTTAAATTATTAGGCCGATAAGTACAAAATTATGACAACATTTTGTGTTATACTCCAATTCTTGCCACTTAGTACCCGAAAATTTCGAGGTCGATCGTCCTCTGTCGCCCCATTGGCAAGATATTCAACTGTTTTTCATTATTAGAGATTTGTTGTCAAAAAGATGTTTTTTAAAGAATATGGATCAAAACATTGTTTGTTTATTGTACGGCGAATTGCAGAACGTTGTACGGCGAATTGCAAAATAACAACTTTTGTCTGTACGGCGTCTTGCAATATATTGTAATTTAAAGATGAAATTAATCACAGTTTAGATATTATCAAGTGACGATATTTTGTCCATATCAACCATATTATCCTAAAGACATTCATATATCGTTATACTACTAACGACTGTTGTCTTATTTGTTGTCAGGGTGAAATTTTGTAAGTTCAATAAAAAAAAAAACCGACCATTCATCTTTCCTTGGTGCTTGAAAGAATGTTTTTTTTTTAATATAAACAGTGGAGATGTGGTATGATTGCAAATAAGATAACTAATCACCAGGGTCAAATACAGTGTATGTACTAAGCAATTATATGCTCTCGTCCGGCCTTCAACAACGAAAACACGTACCTTATAGTCGGCTATAAAAAGCCCCGACATGAAAAATATGGAAGGATTCAACAAGAAAACTAACGGCCTATCTCATAACAAAACAATGTACGAAAAACAACAAATACGATAGAGATGAACCAACGACAACCACCGAACAACATGTACAGGCTCGTGACTTCGGACAGACACTTTAAGAATGTGCTGGGTAAAATACATTGTTTATTTTTTTAATTTCTGAAACGAATAATTTGTTAAAAGAAAAGTGAAGAAAATATCTTTTTTTCATAGAAAATTAGAAGAAATAAATCATGAATTGTGTTTCAAATTAATCTTCTTGAAATTAAGATTGTATTTTTTTTTAGTTTAAGTAAATTCAATCAATCTTTTTATTTACAGAGAAAAAAGAATAAAACACTGTTGCTAAGGCTGTTTGGCCTAAACTTAAAGGAGTAGATGGAGGGGTAGTGAGAAGGAGTGTATTCGTCCGAATTCTCATTGTAGTACATTTTCATGATTACTATGTATAATATTTCTCAGTAAATTTTAATGTGATATTGTGCCAATTAAAATTATATAATTAATACAAGTAAGACTTGCATTTGCTTTAAAAGATATACATGTAGCAGCACGTGATTATTTGTTTTCAAACACACCTTCTCTGTTTTGAAACTTATAAATGTATGGATCTCGGCCTATCTATTTGATTAAATATAAATGTGAATTCATAGTGTTTCAAAATCAACAGTTAGCCCTATTTGTGTGTGTGTGTGTGTAAATAATCTAATCTTAAGACAGATTCTTAAATTAAATCATTTTTCTTAATAAGAAGAAAAAAGTGCTTCTAAAGTACGCCTGAATGTAAAAAGGTGTACCCGACTTATTCTTTCACGATAAGAATTTACCGATTTCGGTATTTTAACAAGACTGTTTACGAGGACAAATAAATAAAAGAACGCTATCAAATCAACATTTAAATTTTCGTGGATTTTTCCAAAAGATTTTATGAGTATGCATCATCAGGAATTAAAAAATATTCCAACCTGTTAGCCACCGAGCTTGTTCATTTCTTAGAAAATTAATGTTCTTTATTTTAATATATTGGCTGTATCTACCTTTTACAAATTAGACAATAACATTAATTGAATAAGGAGATGTGGAATGATTTTCAATGAGAGGACTATCCAACAAAGTCCAAATGAAATGGATTTAACCAACTATTGGTCATTATACACTTCACAATGAACAAAACCCATATACCGTATCAAAATTGCCTGATTTATAACAAAATCATGAACAAATGTCAGACAGCAACCTACGACAGCCGCTATATTACATGTTCCTGACCAGGGACAGACACATATAACGTCAGCGGCATAAAAACAGGTCAGTGAAACAGTGACATGCCTTTCCGAAAGTTGCAACATTTGCCAGCTTTTGTATATGCCGTATTCATATTGTATACATCGGGTATGTATAAGATGTAATAGGACTGTGTTCAAGCCTTATATTGTGTATACATCTTAAATGCTGTCAAGCGAATTGTATTTTTATCAAATGCATAATTAGATATTTGAACTTTATACTTTATTTTCTTTAAAAGGACGGCAAATAAATATTTTAAAATTAGCAAGTTGCCATACAGTTGAAAACAAGTTGCCATACAGTTAATTTGTCAACACGAGCAAGTTGCCGTACCCTAGACTTTATTTTTGATGGTCTATATTCTTTAAAAAATATCTTTTTGACAACAAATTTCAGTAAATATGATGCCACACTATAATGATCTAAAAGTGTGTCTGGAAAAATAATGAAAAACAGTTGAATATCTTGCCAATGTGGCGACAAAGGACGATCGACCTCGAAATTTTCGGGTACTAAGTGGCAAGTTTTGGAGTATAACACAAAATCTTGTCTTAATTTTGTACTTATCGGCCTAATAATTTAAAGAATTATATATCAGAAAATCATTTCTTAAGCGCGCGGTACCCTCGTCAAACCAGTCGAAATGCTTTAAATTGAATGAATTCTTACCTTGTTTACTTTTTTTTTCCATTTCTCTCCGCTTCGTTAGTACCCAATTTCCGATGGCGATGATACACAGTGTGTTAGAATGTTCTGTCATTTAAACGACTTTCGTTATCTATTTATAACCGGTTCAAAGTCCAACAGGGAAGGTAATTTTGATAAACGAATTAAAATTGCGACGTCGATTGAAGCAAAAGACGAATTAAGTGAGTTATTGACATGTCCAATATGTTTAGAAACTTTCCGTGTTCCCAATTTCCTTCCGTGCCTTCATACCTTTTGCAAATCCTAATTTTCTACGTTCATTCTTTCGTCAGTTACAAAAGGAAAGGACCAAGTTGGTTTTGAATGTCCGATTTGCCGCAAGTTGATTCAACTCCAAGGACACCCTGGTGTTCCAGAGACATGGGTAGATCAACTGCCAACAAACCATCTCATAACATCGATGATGGACCTAAAAGACATAACCAGATCAGAGAAGCTGTGTAACGCATGTTAGTTGAGTAATGTATCGAAGAAAGTCGTGTCTTGGTGTACAGTATGTGGTGAGGCGTACTGTACAGACTGTACAAAAGATCACAGAAAGTTCCGAATGTCATTACATCATAAAATCATTTCTATCGAAGAACTGAAATCTTCTGAAGAAGTATTTGGTGAATCAGGGATCGTTTTTTGTGATGAACATCCTGATAAGGCCATTGAAGTATTTTGTGATGACCATTCCAAACCATGTTGTACATTATGTGTAACAATTAATCATAGAAAATGTGAGAACGTTACTACCATTGACAAAGCTACTGTCGGTATCAAAACAGCAACGAAAACCACAGAACTTCATAAAAAACTACAGCAGTTAAGCCAAGAAATTGACAGTTCTATAAAAATCATTGAAGACAATAAGACCAAATTTGAAACCGAAAGTACCAACATCTTATCAGAGATTGACCTATTGAAAAGTAACATTATCAAACACTTAGCAAGAATGGAAAACGAAATAAAAGAAGAATTATCAACTAAAAAGGGGGTCATTTTGAAAGCTATAGAAAATGAAGCTATGGAACTTACGAGTCTGAAATGTACTATTGATAACTGGAAAAGGATCATGGACACTTGCCTTAAACATGGTTCGGAACTCCAATGTTTAACAGAAGTAAATAGACTCATAGCAAAGAAGGACGGCTTGGGCAATCAAATAAAAACTGCAATATCTACGTTAAAAATCAATTCTTTAACGTTCAAACCGTTTGATTCCGTCAAAAACTTTGAAAGTAATGAAAAATCGTTCGGCAGCTTATCCTTATCGGATTCGTTAATGCATAAGCCGTCTGTAAATATGAAAACAGGAAAAATCGAAATTGTTCACGTTTTTGACGTCGCCAATGGAGGGATATCTTTTGGAAGTGGTATATTTCTTGGTAATTTCATATTAATAACAAACTTTTCAAGTCAAAGAGTAGTGAAATTTAATCGGGAATTTGTCTATAAAAACGAATTAAAATTACCGCATGGTCCATACGATATTACAAAAATAGACGATTCTAAAGTTGCTGTCGGAGCGCAACCACAGATCTTTATCATTGACGTCGTAAATATGAAGATAGAAAAGATTTTAACAGTAAATGGTTCGTTTTTGGGACTCCAGTATGTATGTCCAGAATATATAGTTGCATATTGTGGAAAACTAACGTGGATAGATGCATCCAGCGGATCAAGAATAAGAGACTGCCAGACTGGTAACCAATGCCTCTACTTTCATGCTTTTGGGAGAAATGAGTATATATGCGCTGTGACTTCCAATTCTGTGTCTAAATATGTAGACGGGAAAGCTGAATTTACCTATAGCTCTGATAAGTTAACATATATAAGAGGAATAGACAAGGACTGTGAAGGAAATATTTACATTTGTGGGTATAGCTCAAAAAATATCCATCAACTGACAAAGGAAGGTACCTTAGTGCGAATAATTTCAGCTTCTTCATTCGGAATATCTAGTCCGTGGATTATACGGTTTGAATTAAATAGTAACATCTTTTTACTGACAGACTTTGACTCTGGGAAAGTTGTTATCTGTAAAATTTGTTAAGCAAAGAGTAATTGTTCGTAACGTATTTCAGATGAATAGCGACCATTACAACTTTTTTTCATAATTCAAAAGTATTTCGTCTGTAAAACAAATAAAGAAGTTGTAAAGATTCAAATAAATGTGTATTGTGATACAGTGTTTCAAAAGAATGGGTTAATTTAAAACAATTTGACTGTATACAAATAAAGCTCTCAAAAGGAAATATATATTTTTTTAAATTTTACTTCCGGAAAAAAGCAAATGACAAAATATAAATGAATCAAGTTATTTTACAGCTGTAAACTTTAAGCACTACAATTATCCTAGTATGGTGGTTCATTCTCTACTTCATGTAATCTACGGTCGTGTCGTACAGATGGTCAGGATCCAAGCCTATAAGTATACGAGACAGCAACGCAACGATAAAAAACCAAAAGACATGTAGTTATGGGCAACAAACAGTCTTCAACAATGGACAGGTGTCTAGACAATATGTCAAGATTTAAATCGTCCCAAGTCAATGAAAGTTGTCATTATATACAGAACCTACCACATATCTGCAATCAATACTAAGTCTTAATACCCTAAAATAACCTGATACATTACTATATGACATAAGACAACCACTGACTTGGATATGTGGTAGGCGTTTTGGTCTCTCAACCCTACCGTTTTTAATTTCGATCACTGTTCTAAACAAGGGATACATACATGAATATGCAATAAAAATCAGCTCAGTAAAACCACTTAACTCTAAAATGGCGATATATAATAGATAACATTAACACAAGTAAACAAAAAACTGATTATTATGAATTACCGTATCCAAACGAGCTCAAAGTACTTTACCTGATAATGTGAAACCATGTCATCATACGCTCTATGGCACAGGCAACAGAAGAAAAAAAGAAAAAAATTGTTTCAAAAATTTTGTATTTGAACTGCAGGTATCCATACCACGAATTCAAAATCATTTTATGTTCAACCAAGTTTTTCAATTTTCAAAGCTTTCTAAATATTTAACCCTAAGTTTTAACTTCATGAATACCAGGTGTATTCTGAAAAGTACAGGGCAAGCTGAAGTCCGTCTTCGGGTGCGGGAGTTTCTCGCTGTGTTGAAGACCCATTGGTGGAATTGTGCTGTTTTCTGCTCTTTGGTCGGGTTGTTGTCTTTTTGACACATTCCCTGTTTCCATTCTCAATTTCATGTATTACCATTTGTATATAGTAATTTTCAACCAATGTTTAAAATATTGTAGTGACTGGTGACGTTCCTTAAGAAATCTTCTACAAAGATTTAGCACTCTTGTTTTCTTAAAACCATTAATAAGTATACATTGAAGCACATCTACTAGTACCCTAGAATTTAATGCAACAAGCACATAAGGGCTAAAATTTGCCCGAATATCTTTATTTCCTTCAGCATAGTTATCAAAGGTTTGTGAGCAGTGAATGATAAGGATTGCTTTCATTTTGAAAATTAATGAAATTATATCATGCCATCTTGCACATATTATCTGTAAAATTACACGCTCAATATGAACTGACTGTAACAAGTGACACTAGTACATAAACATTTAACGTTTACCTCCAAGAATATAACATTTCATTATAAAAATCATTCTCGGTTGATTTTTCTTCTCAGTCGTTATTCGTGTAAAACTATTAAAAATCTTTACCACGAGTTATAAGTGTTATATTAAAATTTTGTCTTTGGCAAGTTGTTTTAGTAAAATTATATATGAATTGACAAAGACAAAATTTTAATATAACATAAGTAAAAAGAAATCAATAGATATGTCACGGAATATCCCTTTCCTCTTTACTTTTCAGTTATGGACCAATATGTTGACCAATGATACAATTTTTGTAATGCAACATTTACCCTTTTGGATTGTCAGTTTCTTTTCGACTTATTTGTTTGAATGTCCCTTTTGGTATCTTTCTCCTCTGTTTTACGTATAATCCAATACTAAGTAAAATCAAAAGTAGAAAACTTTGATATGAGGTAATTTATGGGATTGCGATGTAGTTTATGCAGTTTTTATATTAGGCTTTTCTGTCCGTCTTATATACAATGTATGGTATGCCGCAATATTATAACTGGATTTCAAGATTTCTTCATGACAACTAAGTTTTCCGGAGAAACTACTTACTACAATTGCTTTAATTACAATTTCTGGCATTTTCTTGTTTGCATGCCTTTCGTTAGCTTAAAAAGGGCTACACATTGCAAAAATCAAGTTTTATGTGTAAAAAAAGTAAAATAACAAAAATATCGAACTCAAAAGAAATTCAAATCGGAAAATCCCTTAACAAATGACAAAAGCTCAAACACATCAAACGAATGGAAAACAACTGTCATATTCCTGACTTGGTACAGGCATTTCCTTATGTAGAAAATGGTGGATTAAACCTGGTTTTATAGCTAGCTAAACCTCTCATTTGTATGACAGTCGCATAAAATTCATTATATTATACTCCTTAAAGTGACAAAGTATGACTTTTTGCAGTATAAATCTTGAAATGAGGCTTCTTGCATTTTACATGATAAGATAAGCAAAAGAAATTTCTTTGATTTCCAAATTTTTGTATCACCGCTCTTTCCAGTTAAGGTGTCATACAGCCAATTCAAAATCATTGTATGTTCAACCATTTATTATATCATTTTTCGCAGCAGTCTTAATATTTTATCTGCTTTTAAGTCACGACAACATTGTTAAGTCATGCACAGTGTTCGCCTCTTGTCTCCGTCAATTTTATTTGTCCTGTCCTGATAACTAAGTGTGGTTCTTATTATAATCAAGATTTTAAACATCGGTTGAAAATTGGCATATAGAAAGGTGATACATTACTATTCCGGATATACCTGGCACTTGTGATCACAATGTGTATCAAAAGAACTAAAAACTGCTGGTAGTATATTAGTTAAAAACCTCTACAACCAACCAAACGGTATCAATATTCATGAACAATATAATTAATAACAAATAATTTCGATGCCCGATACCAAAATATTGTCAAATCAAGAACTTAAACGTAAACCTATACGTTGAAGAGATGATATAAGCGAACATACCAACGATAAAGAAAGAGCTATTCACGAGGGAGATATCTAAATTACTTGTCCATGAATTTACAATAAATTTTTTTTGATAGATATGCTACATAGTATACTTATCAAAGGTTTTCAAAAATCCAGAGTGCTATTTTTAGTATTGGGTAACTTTCGGAACGTCATCTGTTACTGGCAGCACTGTCCATTTTCCCTTCATTGTTTTTACCATAGTCAACTTTATTAGTCATCTGATGTATCACATCATTCACAGAATTGCCTTTCGTTATATGTTGCTTTCCTATTATGTATCAAAATATCTATTCGAATTTGCTTTTCTTTAGTTATGGCTTCATTTTAGTTATCATTGTTGAGTGTTTGGTTAAGTCTTTGCTTGTTTGTCTTGTACAATTATCCCCAGTATTGCTTAGGTTTAAAATTTTTGCAAATATTGCCCATATAATGCCTTGCCCGGTTTGTTTTCAATCACCCTTAAACTCGCATAATTACTTTTCGTGTGAAAGCATTCCTAGTATTGCAAATCATATTTAGACTCCCATTATTGCATCAACACTTCTTGTTAATATCGGCTATATATATATAGTACTATTGTCTATAGTATTTCGGTTATTGGTTCTTCTTGAACAGATCTCGTTTCCTCGATTTATTATGATTTCTTATTGTGTCTTAATACTCAAAACTAACAAGGAATACCAATCATCCAACTATGATATATATCGATGCCTCATCGGATTACCCCCACTCCTTTCCTCCCCCTGTTAGATCGGACATGACTCTGTTAATTCCGCACAACTGAACGGACGTACCTTACCAAGAATTGGGTTCTGTTTATTTTGTTTTACTTTGCTTTGCTGAACTACAACCTCTTGTAATACTTTAGTGCTTTTTCATTGCTTCTTTCAATTATATTTCCCGCACGTGGTAGGTGCATTCGACTCCAATCTTAGTTGACTACAGAATATCTTCTGGTGAAGAGTAAAAAAAATGAATCTGGACCTCTTCTGTATTCTGAAGATGAAGCAATAACACACAAATTCAATTTGGCGTCGAAAATAGCCGATTTTTTTTTTTTTATGTTGGTTGACAAAATATTGATTTTGTTATCAGTAAATTAAAACCAAAGAAAACATTTTTGTTGTACACATATGTACATTGGATGTTGGATGTGTACTGATTGATATTTTAGTCTTAGACTTATGTTTTTTTATTAGTTGTTATTGGCTTTGAACTAGCTTTCAGTAACTGTGAGTACTCTCAGATCTGAACTTTGCATCTTTTGTGTGTTTGTTAGGGTGTTTGTGTGCTGTGTATCGATTGTTGTTTCTGTATATCATATTGTTTTTTCGTTTATTTTTTTGTACGTAAATCAGGCCGTTAGTTTTCACGTTTGAATTGTTTTGCATTTGTCATTTCGGGATATTTTATAGCTTACTATGCGGTATGGGTTATGCTCATTGTTGAAGGCCGTACGGTGACCTATAGTTGTTAACTTCTATGTCATTTGGTCTCTGGTAGAGAATTGTCTCATTGGTAATCATACAACATCTTAATTCCTATCTTTATATAACTAAAGTTCACATTAATTTTTTTTTTAGAAAATTCTGTTGCGTCAGCTCATTCGAAAGATACGACTGTAATAGTGTACGTGCTCTGTTTTGGCATTGATGTGATTATATAATACGTGTATAGTCAAAACAAAAATGAAGATTTGGTAAGGAATAAAAATAAAATAAAACATCTGATTATAATATTTTTCACACAAATAACATCTTTGTAGATACATGCAAGTTCATTTATAAAAGCGTATAAAAACCAGTTATAAAAAAACTTAGATGATGGTCATTTTTGATGACATGTATATTGTCCTTTGATATCTAAATGAGTTAAGTCACATGGCACAATGAAACAGGTTTAAAGCACATGTCTAATGTTTTTGTTTTGAAATGAAGGCTGTTACACTATTCATACTTACTCCATCAAGTATTTTATATAAAAAAAAATAGAAGTAACAGTAGAGACCTAATGGGTAACTTTTTTGATTATTGGCCCAAAATTATGATATTCATAGTCAAAGTTCGTATATATCATAAATTAACATACATCAAGAAAAACATTTTTATTTGCAAAAATGAATTTT